CATCTCTCGTGTAGTAAACACACGCCACCAACGAAATGCATACATAAGTTTACTTTGTCCTCGATATATAGGTAGTATTTATTATATATATACTATATGTGTGTGTGTGTGTGTGTGTGTGTGTGTGTGTGTGCGTGTGCGTGTGTGTGTGTGTATATCCCTTTGTAGTGCGTAATATATTTACCTTACTTGAGACGTATCAATTACTTGTACCATAAGTTGATGTATTCACCTGACCCATTTATATGGACCATATAGGGCAAGTGTTCATTCAATCCCCCTCACTCGAGAGATATTGATCACTTCCAATTGCCGCCCCACTAACTAGCGCTTTGCATATACTTTGAATTCCCTATTCGCCCAACTGAACCCTAAATCCTAAACCCTAAACCCTAAACCCTACGCTTCTTGCCTAACACAGGAGCTTAAGATCGACTCCCTACTACAGCGACTATTGGATGTGTCTAATCCAGTGATTACGCCTCAGGTGGTCGAATTCTTGCTACAACCAGGTATACAGGAGTGTGTGTGTGTCTATGTAAATGCGATAACAGTTAGCTTGTATGCGTGTATGGTATCGTGGTGTGTATGTGTAGTGGTGTGCGTTGGTAGTTGGTATTATGTTACGTTGTTTGATAGAATCTTTCAAGCCATTTTAGACTGGTGATCGCGCGGGTTTCGTGCTGCCTGGTTAGTGTTATATGTCATTTGGAAAGCGTAGCTATCCGGTAACACACTTCAAACACACTATATAAGTATGTATGCATATATATATATATATCTGAATCGCCTCGGGCCATTCGCACATCAGTACAGACCCATTATCAAGTCACGTGCAAATCCCTTTTGAGGCTATGGTTCAGATATGCTAGCTTTGTAACCCCTAAAAGCTAACAAACCATGCACACTTACAAACACCCTAACAGGCGTGTGCGCGAAATTGGCGCAGTACATCACGCGGATGCGAGACACGCCGAAGGAGGCAGATGAGCCGCGAGATGTGGAGGTGAGTCATGTATTGCGTGCAAGTTACCATGGCAACCTGCGTTGCATTTACCTACCAGTGCGGAGGTTGGCCATCGCTTGTACCTGTTTTGGTGCAGTCGTAAGCTATTGCATGCCCCGGTCACGTTCAACCGGCCATAGCCGTTGAGTGAGTGGCGTTGTGTCGCCGGTGTGCGAGGTGTATGGGACGTGTATGGCTGTACTGTTTCGCATGCACATATAAAGACGAATCGATTTGTAGGCTATCCCATCCCTAGGCATTTCGAATGTTTGTGTGGTCGTTGTCAGCCTGTCAGTTGTTTTGAATGTTTGTGTGGTCGTTGTCAGCCTGTCAGTTGTTTTGAATGTTTGTGTGGTCGTTATCAGCCTGTCAGTTGTTTGGAATGTTTGTGTGGTCGTTGTCAGCCTGTCAGTGGTTTCGAATGTTTGTGAGGTCGTTATCAGCCTGTCGGTTGGTTTGTGCTCCGCATGGGGGGGGTCTTACGGCTGTGTTAAAGCTTGTAGTGAGAGGTGGGTGCTCGCTGTGCGTGAAAGTCCGGCACCTGACTGCTACGGATAGCACGCAGTAGTCGTTAACTGGCGGATGGATGTGTATAGTTAAGTCACTCCGGTATGGGGCAAAAGTACCGAACTTGAATACGAATGATGCGAACTAACCACTCCTGTGTGTCGGCATAGGCCGAGGATATAGATGCTGTATTTTTTGTGGTACAGGTCTGATGCACTTAGAACTCGCAAGTACAATACCAATTGCATATCTGCGTGGTACTGCTAGCATGCTTGTGGTGTATAGCCACCCGCGTGTATTGTAGATGCCGTACCTCTGCCAAAGAAACTAGTTTATCTTCAATATATAAGTGATCTGCATGATACCTTAAAAGAATACTTGCGTTGCATGGACAATTGCTTAAATTAGGAATGCTGTACGTATGACCCAATACGGATTGACCTTCGACACGGAAGTACAATACCAATCACAGATATACTTAAATTACAATACCAATTGGTACTGTGCAGGATACTGCCGGCATGCTTGTGTTGTAATGCCACACGCTTGTACTGTAAATGCCGAACACATAACAAGAAACTGTCTCGTCTTCGATATCTATGACCCAAAATGGATGACAGATTGACCTTCAATATATATGACCCAATACGGATTGGCCTTCGATATAGATATACTATACCAATTGCTTTGCTGCATAAAGCATAACAACTAGTGCGTATCTACATAAAGTATAGTACCCTTTGCTTGCCTGCATCCTACTGATGGCGTATGTGGGGTGTGTTATTATTAACAAGCGCTTATCTACGTAAAGTATAGTACCAATTGCTTGCCTGTATCCTACTGATGGTTATGTGGGGTGTGTTACATTAACATGGCTTATCTACATAAAGTATACTACCATTTGCTTGCCTGCATCCTACTGATCGTGTATGTGGGATATGCTATCATGTATCTTATCAACATAAACCATAGTACCATTTGCTTGCCTGCATCCTACTGATGGTGTATGTGGGGTGTGTTACCATTAACAAGTGCTTATCTGAATAAAGCATAATACCTTTTGCTTGCCTACATCCTACTGATGGTGTATGTGGGGTGTATTATCATATCCGCAGGATATGAATGCCGTTCGTCGGTCTCATCAGGCAATGGTCATTCTGACGCGGAATGCCAATTCGGTACATCGAGTGCTGTCGCAGCGATGGGAAGAGATTTGTAAGTAGACTATGTCCCAAATCTATTCCATTCTTGAAGTTAATGTGTATTTTGTTTGTTTGTTTGTTTGTTTGTATGTTTGTTTCTTTGTTTGTTTGTTGTTTATTTCTATGTTTCTTTGTTTCTTTGCATGTGTGTGAGTGAGTGTGAGTAAATATGTGTATGTATGTGTATATAGTCCTATCCTGTATCTCTTGTAAGCTAAGAATATACACATGGGACTCGTCCTATATAGCGCTGCACCTTCATATAGAAGCACTCCTACACTTAATAGTTCCCCACTGACTGCTCTCTCTCTTATGTACAAATCTGAGCTTGATTCCTTTTTCCTTTTTTTCTTTTTCCTTTTTTTCTATTTACAGTGAGAGAATTATTAAATATATTTAGTCAGAAGTCCGATGGAGTACTGAGGCATGTGCCGCCGGTGTGGAAGGTACGTACGCTCTTGATCCTAAATCCCAATCTCTAAACTCTAAACTCTACAACTCAAACTTTAACCTCTAATCCCTAAACTCTACAAATCTACATCTCAAGCTCTCAGCTCTAAACCCTGAACCCTAATTTTTTGTTTGTTAGTATACATGTGACCATTGAAAGTGTATAGTACGACTGTTTCCAAAACTACAAGAGGCTGTCTTGTAGGCGATATAAGCGAATTGTCACGAGATCTGAATCAATGATCAAGTATCACACGGATCATTGTGTTTTGTATTTAGAATCATATGGCTGTACGCTGAATTATGTATGTATGTATGTATGTATGTATGTGTCTATCTATCTATCTATGTAAGTATGTATGTTTGCATGTATGTATGTTTGTATGTAAGTATGTATGTATGTTAGTGTGTATGTATGTATTTATGTGTCTATGTATGTATGTATGTGTCTATGTTATGTATGTATGTATATATGTATGCATGTATGTGTCGGTGTATGAATGTATGTGTCTATGTATGTGCCGATGTATGTATGTATGTGTCTATGTATGTGCCGATGTATGTATGTATGTATGTATGTATGTAAGTCTGCGCACAGATATATCTATTGGGAAGCATTTGCAGATGTACCGAACCTCAAACGACTCACTCGAATAGGCATACACAGACTTACACCCACAGTACAGAATACCCCATGGAGCAGGTGATTTGGGCTGAAAAGACACTTATCTACGCTTGCACTATATCATCCACCATCACACTATAACATACGTATCGTACACTACTAACTATGCGACTTCGTCACTATCTCGGTGTCCACACTACTGTGCGGTATATATAACATTGACATGTGATAGAGTGCATATGGCTGGGCATGCGGACTATACACTGGGGTATGTACAAACCCTAAACCCTAAACCGACACGTCCTGCAGTAGATAAGGCTTGGATTCCGGATACAACAATCGCTTTGCGTCATTCACTCATCCCATTGAATCATATCCCGCGCCATATTAAATTCGGTTGTTTTCATA